CCGAGTTGATCGTCTTCGACCTTAATTTTTTGATTAGTACCAGTTATGGAAGTCTGTGCAATTTACCCACCGGTATTCTATCCAATTTTATTTCAACTAATGCGAAGCCAATGAGCTTTGGGGGTTGAGTCCTTGGGTGAATGCTTGAACAGCCTAATCATCCGCGACCAGAGGCAGATATATATGTTCCATTTGGAACCTCGACATGAATTCCCTGAGCATCTCGTTATCTCTTTGTTTTACTTTGAAAAGGCCTGACTTCCTGGTTTCGACCTTGATGGTTCCGGCGTGTGCTTTTACAAAGGCATCTGCAAGCATAGCAAATGAGTCAATAGAATTCAGGGGTAAGTTGTGATACCATATCATAGCTCCCTTTGACAAGGTCTCTCCAAACTTTTTCAGCAGGACGAACTCAATATCGTCATCTTCCAAGTTGTTCCCCTTGATGGCGCACGTGTAGGAGGTCACACGTTCATTTGGATCAGTCAATCCATGAAACTTCAGAATTCCGGGCATACGAAACTTCTTTTGGATCGGCTTAGGAGCTGCGCTCGGAGAGAAAGGCTTTTGGACAAATTTCTTGGAATCCAGGCCTTTCAGTATCGGTGGTGCTCCTGGGATTTGATCGACCCTGGAGTTATAGGTCTCCACCTTTTTGTCATTAGCTTCGATTTTTCTTTCTCCCGATTCCACCTGTTTTGTCAGTTCCTCAACAATCTTTATTATCTCGGGGTTGGTCCCGAGTTCTGCTTTACCCCGCCTTTCTGTGGCGGTTCATTTCTGTGGGCATTTTCCCAGGATGGTTCAGGCTCAACTTTGCTGGGGGTGCGGCTTTAGTATTGCAACTAGGCTATCGCTGCCTTTTGAGCTTGCAACATTTCGAAGATCACCCGCAAGTTGATCCTATCACCTTCACCATTGTGTGTACTCCGGGCTATCGACCGGGCTCCCCCACGAATGCTATTTTCAGGGTCAGTAGGCAAGTTTTCTTTGATAGCCACGTGTGAGTTAGTGTCGATCGGAGCCGCGACTGGGACTCTTTTGGGATCAATAGGGGGTACCTCGTTGCTGGGCACCACGTTGTTGTTCTCGCCATGGTGACCAGACTCAACATCAACGTTCAAATGAGTAGATTAGGAGTTTGACATTTTTAATTTGGCCTGAAATTATAAGTCAAAGAACAAGTGTAAAATAAAGTGTGTTATGGAAATTTGTATCATGCCACTATTATTCTTAGCCCCATGGTGGGCGCCAAACTGTTTACTCTCAAAAATGGATAACAATAAAATTTATATGTGGTTTTAAAGATATGTAGATTAATTCAGTACAAATGATAAATAACATTAGATTAAACAGATAAAGGACGTAATAAATTTTCAAACCAATTAAGGGGAGTGATCCCGGACTCAGTAACAGCTTAATGAAATGCCTGCCTTTTATCCCGGGCTCACAATAACGAAGAACTGCTGAACAAGAGTGAGAACTTTGAATAATAGAGAAAATAATAGTATATTTCTTTGATATGTGTGTTACAATGTATCTATGGATAAAAGGTAAAAATCTTCCGTTACGCCGATCACTAATATAAGCTGAGATTCGCGCCGTGGTATCCGGTTGGATATGGATATCACGGCCCTTTGTTTGTCGTGTGCAGTTGCTCGGTGATGTTCTCTGAAGTCTCAACCCTTAAATCGGACCTCGAGGGTATGGCCCCGATACCACCGAGGACAGGTGTTTGCCCGATCCCTGATATGAGGGGTTCTTCGTTCTGACTTTGATACGTTACAGTCATCTTCCCACTCCGCTCGGCTCACCGGAAAGTCGAGTCATGCGACGGACTCCGTTTTACCCGTATACAGAAGGAAACTATAGATTTTCATTGTAGCATGATAGACTCCTTATAGCATCAAAAAGAATCATCAGGTCTAACTCAGCGTCACTATAAAGAAATGTGCAATCTTGAACATAACAATGTCTCCCCCAAACCCATCCACGGACCCACCCCACACAAACACCACCCACCTCGGGCTCGTCACGGTTGACATCCTGAGGAAACTTGAGAAACAGGAAGTATGCATGAAGATTTGCTCATTTTATTATCCTGCTAGTGAGCGTATATTTTCACTGCGAAATACATATTCTTTTTCTTTTAATAGTTGTAATATCCAAACTAGCTTAAGCACCCCTCGACTATTCTATTAAATACATGCTACCTTCTATTAGAACAAATATCGAGTATATATATAACCTTAGCAGTATCTTCCAATAGAACCACAAATCGACACGGCCAGGACTCATCAATAAGGTAACTCCGTCGTGTGTGTTTTGGGATCAAATTCGGTGATAATTTTCCACTCACGTTCTTCCAGAGCTGGATAAGTGATGTTTAATGGCATCTTCCTAATCGGGTGGGTTCCCCGTGGATAATGCCACCTTAAATTGTTTTTTAGTCTTCATCATTTATTCTCCTTTATTTTAGTAGGTGCTAGTCTTCATCTAGTCGTGTTGCATTAATATGGATCCAATAATTTATTGGTTGTACATTTAGAGATGGATAAAACTGCTTCTTACCTTTATTTTTATGTAAAGGATATAGTAGGTTGGATAGGTTTTGCTATCTTTTTTTTTTCATTTTTATATGTATAGATAGTTAGTTAGATCCATATACAAATTTAAAGACAAGCATTTGTGGGATAATAGACAAAATACCCCTTCAAGTTGAAAGATAACCGTTTCACATCCGCAAACCAGCTAACTCTAACGCGGATTTCATAGCTCTCATATCCATTTGGTAAAAACTATATCAGAACAAGGGCAAATCAATGAAGCTCCTAAAACTTTCTAACTTCCAAAACTCTTCAAAGCAGCTTTTACCTTCTAATAATGTCAATGAAGGCCGCTTGGATTTATATAAATATTTTGGTTTGGATTTTCAAATTTCGGATTGAAAAAATGACAATCCAAATTCATTCCAAATAATCTCGGATTTAATCAAAAAAATTTAGGTTCGGTTGTGGATTAATTGGTTTAGATATTTCGGATTTTCAGTTTTGAGCCTATAAGTTGAGATGTTTCTTCTTACAAAAATTAAAATCCAAATAAAGCATTCATGTTAAATTGCCTAAAAAATTCTTCATTCTTACCACAATCATCTAAATAAAGTATTCAAGTAATAAAATCATTACCATGGAATCTAATTGAGACATTAATAAAGCCAATAAAAATTAGCAATAGTAAAACCATATCCCAATAGAAAATATTATGATAGTAACTTAGGAATTGATGTTGAATATATGTGATAATTTCTAATTGGTAGGATATTAGACTTATTATTATTAGCATATAGGTAATGGGACTAATGTCTTATGGGTAGCTGCTAAATATAAAGTATATGCATTTCGAATTTTCATATATCCAAACATCCAAAATACCAAATACAACATCCAATTCAAAATCCAAAAATTTTAAAAATTAAATACATAATCCAAAAATCCAAAAAGTATGGATTTCGATTTGAATTTCGAGTTTGCCCAAACTATGTCCCCATCCCTAATGGGTAGTCTACTCATCATAAGAGCTGTTACACTACTTGTTTTTTAATGAAGTTGGTGTCTAGGTCAACTTGCGCCAAGCTCGACCAGTCTACCGAGTATCCACTATATTCCATCGATGCAGATACCGAGTAACCATAGCCACCAAGACTTAGGCAGATGAGAAGAAATCATCAAGTATTTTTTGTCTCCATTGGGATTTGAACCTCAGACCTCGTGATTCTCCTCTCAATCATCGACCAATAGGCCACAGTTGTTATCATACTACCGAGAAAAAGAGACCAACAAAAGCCTGCATAGCCAGATATTTGCTCAGAAGATGAACCTCAAAGCTGAACCACGCTATTGGAATGAAATTACAAAGAACATCATAAGACTCCCAAAGTTACAACCTTGTTGAGAGTATCAGTCAGCAAGCACTCGCTAAGTTTTCTTGACTACCAACCAGTCGAATCATTCCAGTGGAGCCAAAATCATTATGAATAGCTTAACCATCCCAAAGCGGAGCAGAAGACACTACCATTCATGATCTTAAGCCGGAGGAGAAGCTCATATCACGGTCAGACAACCATCACTAAATTAATATTCTCCAAACATTATCACTACCAAAATGCATCATCATAAAACTGAAAGAAAAGAACCAATATTGAGTGTCAAGAGATTATAGAAATCTTCTCTAGTCACAGCTAGAAGCTTAATGTCTTGCAGCAAACACAGATATTTTATCACTTCCAACACCTGGAAATAAAGCTTTGCCACTGTACAATTATAACTCTCATTAAAGAAATTCAATCAACCTAAGCAGGTCAGTAGATTTTACTAGGTACCAATGGATGTCATTCCTACCTAAGTTGCTCGGATTTGGGTGCGGGCATCCAATACGGGCACGGATCTGAGTGTCGGATTAGGCAAAATCCAAATTTTAAGATTCAGGGCTGCGCAGGTATGCATACAGGTGCGGGATTCGGCTAAAAAATTCAAAATTATAAAAAATAGAGCTATAAAGAGAAAAAGAAAGTCATTCAAGGCCTTCCATCAACTCTCCATCTATATCGTTGCTACTTTTTACAAGAAGTCCGAACTCACAACACGACCCCTTGAATTCTTGGTTTTTCTGAAACACAAAGCAACAAATATGAGACAAAAGTACTACAATATTGAAGGTATGTCATTTTCCATGCCTTAAATCTGTTTTATTTTTAATTTTGAGAAATCAAAATCTCAATATCCCCCCAAATTTGTCGATGGACTCAGGTCAAAGTATCCGAAGTTAGTTGACCGAATCCGGGATGTATCCTGCTCCCGCGCCCGCTCCCGTCCGTGTCGAGACGGGTGCGGCACCAAAAACGAAGAGTCCGCACATCATAGATTCCTACTGTACGGTTTGCTACTTTCTTTTTATTGACTAAACTTAAAGTTTGCTACTGAGCATATTAATGAAAGAAACAATGGCAAGAACAACCTGTGCTTTCACATGTAGCAGTAACTTTCAACAGATAAATATCACTATTGCACAAATCAATCTAAGCCACTTCACTGGAGTGGAAAAGACAAAATGGGCATATTATTGTGAAAAAATTTTATGCTGCAATTTCTCAGCTTCAAAAGCTTTTGGTGTACACAAACTCTTGTATAGAATCCCAGTCATATCGTAGTATGAGACAGACCTTACAGCAGTGTCAATTGCCCGAACGAATTTTATGAAACTGAAGATCTCAGACGCAGTAACCGGTGAATGTAAATCCTCTTCCTACTATCTCACCAGCACAATACCATGCAAAGCACTCCAAGCCAAATAAAACAGCAATACCGGCATCTTCAACCTTCAAATCCTTTCTATTCTGCCACATGTGCTTCACAGAATCAAGTTCCTTTTGGAATGACTCATAACGTCCAGGGATGCTGACAGGAGTAAAAGAAGAAATTCAGTAATGATCATGAATAAATGTCACCAGTGGGCTACTAGTGAATTTTTTCCCCATTTAAAGATGTACGCTACTACATCACACTAGTGCTGCAAAGTCTGGGCACAAGAACCATGAGAACTCTAAAAGTGTGTCCCGTGTCAACAAGAATATTCTTAGTATGCTCTCCGACAAGGACATGTTCAATAATCCATCAAGGAATCAACCATGTCCAATAGAAGAATATTGTAGTCCACATCTCAGCCAGGTGGTGGTCAAGGAATTAAGCAAAATGTAACAATAAATAGTATTTTCAGGGCTTTATATTTACTGGTATAATGAAACCAGTGAATTAGGAATTTCACTACATGTGAAACACTTAAAGGATAAGAGGGTTGTCAGCCAGGGAGACAGACACAAAAATCCAATAATTTTAAAACTACAGGGATACATTAAGAATGTGAGGTGTAATTATATTTATGCATGTGTGTGTGTATTTAAAAAGTTGTTTATCATAAATACTACCAATAATAACTACCAAAAAATTGAGGAAGTCCTATGCAGCTGGTAAGCTCTGAGACGCTTTAGGCCCCAACTCGCAAGGGCTTTTAGTTCTAAAATTTATACTAGTGCCCCAATACACCTAATGTGTACCAAAAATAGGATATGCCTGTCAATGATAATTTAAAATAAATAAAAATATTTTCCAAAGACATGGCATAGGTATGTCCAAAGTGAGTCCGGTGTGTTTCGGTATCCGACCCGAATACACCACCATAGATTTAGTGACAAATAATGAACTAGAACGTATTTACATGTTAGAGGATATAAGGGCGAGAAATAACTTGCTTTGTTCTTTTCAACATAAGAGGAGTTATAAAGTCTATCATTTAATTAGTTCGATTCATACATCAAAATTAATTGTTTATGCAGTAATAATGCATAAAAATTTAATACTGTGACATCCTAAAATTATAAAACGCTATAAGATCAAACTCCCTGGCCCCTGCCTTACATCCAGGCAGTGGAAGATTCAATTCTCATCCAAATCATCATTCTCTTTCCCAAATCTGGGGGTCTAGAAAGCATTTCAGGTAGTGATGTTCATGTGCAAATTAAAACAAGAAGTCCAAATTAAGTATACGTAATCACGAAAAACATTAACATCAATATAATAAGCTAGTAAAGAGGAGAGAGTATAACCTGGCAAGACGAGTATGGAACAACTGCTTTGACAATTCATTGCACTTCTCAATGGTGGGTGGCTCAACAATATACTGTTTGTTCTGCTCCAGCAACTGTTTGTAGTAGGTAGTACCATGCTTGGTGAGAAACTGTGAAGCTTGGCAGGCCTTAGATTGTAGTTGCTGAATCTTGGATGCCATCAATTCCCTAAAGGTGCTAAATAGAGGATATCATAATCAAACATCTAGCCAACAATTTTAAACCAGAAATACACTCCTCACTAATTCTTGCCTATTTGGAGACGATATAAGACAAAATGGANGAAATTCTCGAATTGTCCATGTCATCTTTCCACATCATTCCAATTTTATGATATGTGAGCAAAGGTACACTTTAACAAAAACATTTCAAAGAATTTTCTTTTTTTCCCTCCCATTGTCTATACAACCAGGGGTGGAGCTAGGGCGCTTGCGCCAGAAAATTACACTGTATATACAAGGTCAAGATATCTTTTACGCATATACGGTAAATGTTGAATCACCTTGACTTCTTCGTGAGTTTATTTCTTTATATTTTGAATCTTATTGAGATTATATTGAGATTGTAATTTATATTTATACACACTTGTATACATATTGCTGAGTCAGCATAGCATTAGTCTATTTTTAGTAAAGCTCCAGCTATCAAGCTTAGTTAGTGCGTTGTTAGTTTAGCTGTTATATTTTTGTTGCTTATGTGTATAAAGGGTACAGTACTCGGTAATAGATTCTTTGAGTTTCACATTTCCAAATCAAAGACTCCTCATTATTCATTTCTCTCTCTCTTCGAACTGCACATTCTAGAGAATTTTGAATCCTCAATTGGAGGAGGAGTAGAGCTCATTCAGATCTTGTGATCTTGACATGCTATTAGAGCGGAGGTCTTCTTCATCGATCACGCTGTTGAATCTCTCCTTTGTCCTTTCGTTTTCAATCACAGAATAAGCTAGGGTTTTTCTTTCACAAACAAACAATTTGGGGAAAACTTTAAATCAACGCATCCACCAACGATTCGTCAGTGAATAGAAGTTTTTGAGCTTAATTCCAGCTGTGTGAGCAGTAATCCAGCTGATTTGATATTCTCATGGCGGTTCTGGATCAAACCGATGAGGCGACAACGGCGGCGACCACACAAACGGTAATTGATGCAACTAGTCCTCTTTATATTCATCCATCTGATAGTTCGGGTTCTGTTTTAGTACCTATCCCTTTTGATGGAGTTGGCTATCGTTCCTGGAGAAGAGGAGTGTTAAGATCTCTCTCAGTGAAAAATAAACTAGGTTTTATCAACGGAGAGTGTGTAAGACCTGATGTGACCTCTCCACAGTTTCGCTAGTGGGAGAGGTGTGATGACATGGTTACTTCATGGATTCTGAACTCCTTGGCAAAGGACATTGCACACAGTGTTGAGTATGTGAATAATTCTGTCAAATTGTGGAAGGAATTGGAAGATCGATATGATCAAACAAATGGAACTAAGTTGTATCAAATCCAGAAAGAGATTAACGATTTGAGTCAGGGAGTGCTTGACATCACGGGTTACTACACAAATATGAAGAAACTCTGGGAAGAGTTGAATATACTAAGTGTTAAAACTCACTGTAGTTGTGCGTGCCCTTGTAGAGCAAAGGAAAGCATGCACAAGGCAGTGCAGGATAGAAGACTCATACAATTTCTTAACGAGGTTTACACAGTTGTTTGGGGAAGCATTCGCATGATGAACCCATTGTCTTCCATGGCACATGCATTTGCTTTGCTGATACAAGAGGAGAAGCAGAGAGAATTCAAACCCAGAAATCAATTAAACTTTGATTCTGCTGCGTTGAATGTCAATATAGGAGGAAGAACCTTTAAGACAAATTACTCACCTGATGGGAATCAGACTTCAAACAGCAGGCCTAGGCCATTTTGTGACCACTGCAAATGACCAGGACATACCAAAGACAGATGCTACAAGCTACATGGATACCCTCAAGGTTTTGGACAGGGCTCACAGCAGTATAAGCAGAATTCACAGGGGTATAACAACAGTAACAATAACATGAGGTTCAATAAGGGGAAGATCACTGAGGCAAACGCAGTTGCAAGTGTGCAGGAAATGTCATCAGACATATTGTCAACCAAAACAGATGAACCAGAACATCAAAGAGACAATCAGAACATGAGCTTTTCAAAGGAGCAATATGGACGAATTCTCAGTCTGCTCTAGCATTTTCAAGTTGGGAATGGAGGAGAAAACAATTCTAAGTGTTTCTGGTGGAGCTTCTGTGAATTCTGCAGGTATGATTGCTTGCACTTCTTCCATTGATTTTGATAATCCATCAATGCAACTGTTTCAATGCAAAAGCTGACTTATGGATATTAGATTCAGGCTATGTTGCGCGGACTCTCCAAAATGTAGCCGCACCCGTGTCAGATCCTTCAAAAATACACTACTTTTGGAAGATCCGACACGTATCCGGCCATATTTTCGGAGAGTCCGAGCAACATAGGATTCAGGAGCTTCACATCATATGACTTTCAATAAAACTCACCTACAAAACATTATAAATCTACCATATTCCCTGCTTGTTAAACTACCAAATGGTTACAAAGTTAAAGCAACCCAAATTGGAGATGTACATCTAGCCCCCAAAATCACCTTACATAAGGTCTTGTTTATACCATCCTTCAAGTTTAACCTAGTCTCCATAAGTTCATTAGCAGTGCATCTCAAGTGTATTGCTTCCTTTTCTGATACTTCCTGTCTACTGCATGCCCCTTCACTGAAGAGGCCTCTGGAGATTGGTAAGATGTATGATGGGCTCTATTTTTTATGTTCCCAATGTCTAAAGAAAGGTAATCTCATTTCTGTTTCAAAGAGTGCACTTCCTTGTTTTTCTAGTCATGCTAGTGATATGAATGCAGTACACTGTCTATCCCATCCCCACCACCCTACTGTAAATAACTTTATTTGCAATAATAAAGACAGTGATTTTACTCTACTTTCCTCTACCTCTCTCAGAGATAGTGTGGATCTTCTGTGACATTGTAGACTTGGTCATATACCCTTCAATAAAATGAGAGGCATTCCTAGTATACATGCATCCTTCTCTCCCAAACAACCATTTATTTGTTCTATTTGTCCCATGGCTAGACACTCGAGACTCCCCTTCCCTCAGAAAACAACCAGTACCACAAAAATCTTTGAGCTTCTTCATGTTGACCTGTGGGGCCCTTATCATGTGGCAACGCATAATAAATTTCAAGTATTTCCTCACCTTAATGGATGATTACAGTAGGTCAACATGGACACATCTTCTAAGTTGCAATAGCAATGCACTTCAAGTCATAAAGACCTTTCTAGACATGGTAGAGAATCAATTCCAAACCAATATCCAGTGTGTAAGGACTGATAATGGCCTAGAATTCACTAGCAATGAAGCTTCATCTTTCTTTCAATCAAAAGGTATAAATCACCAGAAAACATGTCCTTATACACCCCAACAAAATGGGGTGGTAGAAAGGAAACATAAATATCTTCTTGAAGTGGCCAGGGCACTCCTTTTTCGGTCCAAATTACCATTAAAGTACTGCGGAGAATGTGTCCTTATAGCAACCTTTATAATCAACAGGCTACCAACAATTCCCTTAAAGAACAAATGTCCTTTGGAACTGTTGTATGACAAGAAATCAACTTATTCTCACTTGAAAAGCTTTGACTATTTGTGTTATCCTATTGTGCCCAAACCTCTCAGGGACAAGTTTGAACCAAGGGCCACTCCACATGTATTTGTGGGATTTGGAACAAAGGATTACGAAGTACTAAGTCTAGCTACTAGAAAAATATCTATCTCCAGGGATATCTTGTTTCATGAAACCATTTTCCCTTTCACTTTCACTTCATATGAACAAGGCTTACCCCCATTCTTTCCTACAGCTTCCTCTACAGATCACCTACCTGATTACACTATTGGTTCTCCTACAACTCCTACAACTGATCAAGGGGACACAATCAGTTCCCCCTTTCTTCCTCCAGCACCACAACTCCTCTACCTGATATGTCACCCATTTCTCCTTCTAACACACCCTCTTTCTCTGAGTCACAAACTCACACTGAACACTTACACCTTCCCACATCACCTCCAGCCACTCAACCTCATTCTTCTACCATAGAACCTTTAGGCCAAAGAAGATCTAGCAGGGAGCTTAGACTCCCCTCTCACTTGAGTGATTATGTATGTAATCTGCCCAATTTGAAATGTAATTCCATCTTTTCCCTCCATGCTTTGTTTTCACAAAATAATCACATTGCTCCTGATGACTTGCACCCTAATAGTCAGCATGTTGTAAGAAATATTTGTCATGATAGAGAGCCAACTTCATATGAAGAGGCAGCCATGTATCCTGCTTGGCAGAGTGCCATGACTCAAGAGTTTGAGGCCTTGTATGCCAATAATACTTGGGACTTAGTCCCTTTGTCAAAGGAGAAGCAGGCTATTGGTTGTAGGTGGGTGTACAAGGTGCAACATAAAGAAGATGGTAGCATAGAAAGGTACAAAGCCAGACTAATTGTGAAAGGGTACACACAACAAGTTGGAATAGATTACACTGAGACCTTTTCTCATGTGGTCAAGATGACCACTGTTAGGTTCCTAATTTCCATTGTAGCTAAGAAAAGATGGCAGATTACCAATTAGATGTGAATAATGCATTTCTCCATGGAGATCTGCATGAAGAAGTCTACATAAAGGCTCCACCAGGGCTTGAGCTACAGTCACCAAACTTGGTCTGCAAGCTGAACAAGTCCCTCTATGGACTGAAACAAGCTAGTAGGCAATAGTATGATAAGTTGACTGAGGCCTCATACACAAGAGGATACACACATTCCATGCATGATTAATCTCTATTCTACAAGAAGCAAGGTTCTTCAATTGTCTTTGTAGCAGTTTATGTTGATGATGTTCTTCTCATAGGGACTGATTTAGAGGAAATTAGTCAGCTCAAAGCTTTCCTACATGATAGGTTCAAAATAAAAGATTTGGGACAGCTACACTATTTTCTAGGACTAGGGTACTTTACAAGGAAGATGGTATTGTTATCTCACAGAGAAAATTTGTTCTGGATCTTCTGAAAGAATATGATTGCCTGCACTCAACTAGCCGGACCTCTCCTCTTGACCCCACAATGAAATTGAAGGCTAAAGAGTGCTCTCCCTTATCTGATCCTACTTTTTACAGGAGATTAGTTGGGAAGTTGAATTTCCTTACAAACACCAGATTAGATATAGCTTATGGGGTCCAACATTTGAGCCAATTTATGCAAGAGCCCAGGGAACCCCATCTACATGCAACCTATCACATGTTGAGGTACCTTAAGAAAGATCCTACTTTGGGCCTAGACTTCAGCAATGCATCAGATCTTTCCATCACTGCTTACTGTTATTCTGACTGGGTAGCTTGCCCTGATTCTAGGAGGTCTGTGTCTGGTTACATTGTCCTTCTAGGAGGCAGCCCTGTGAGCTGGAAGTCTAAGAAACAGGAAACCATTTCCTTGTCCTCAGCAGAAACAAGAGTACAGAGCACTTAGGAAGGTGGTAGGTGAACTAGTATGGCTACATAGGTTATTTGTTCTCACTAAAGCTCTCACTGGGGTGAAGCATTCCTTTGTTCTTGGCAAGTTGGCTATGATTGCCTCACCTCCAACTTGAGGGAGGGTATTAAGATAATACTCCCTCCGTTACAATTTATGTGAACCAATTTCTTTTTTAGTCCGTGCCAAAAAGAATGACCCCGTTCCTTATTTGGAAACAATTTACCTTTACACAATGATTTATAGCCACACAAAATATATGTGCCTCATTTTACACCACAAGATCAAAAGTCTTCTCTCTTTTCTTAAACTCTGTGCCCAGTCAAATGGGTTCACATAAATTGAAACGGAGGGAGTATTTTATATTTATACACACTTGTATACGTATTGCTGAGTCAACATAGCATTAGTCTATTTTTAGTGAAGTTCCAGTCGTCAAGCAGTTGTCAAGCTTAGTTAGTGCTTAGTTTAGCTGTTATATTTTTGTTGTTTGTGTATAAAGGGTACAGGCTATTACTTGAGTTTCACATTTCCAAATCATAGACTCCTCATTATTCATTTCTCTCTCTCTTCGAATTGCACATTCTAGAGAGTTCTGAATCCTCCATTGGAGGAGGAGTAGAGCTCATTCAGATCTTGTGATCTTGACATTATATTTTGAATCTCATACCTGGCTCCGATATTGTACACAACTAGAACAAATCAAAAAACAAGGGACACATATCAAAAATGGGCCAGTCCAGCATTTAACATTTCCAATGAGCTACGTTAACATTTTCTTTATTCAAATACACGTCTATATATTAATCAATTTTCTTGATGGACCATTAAGAAATCTGCAAAGAATTGTAAAACAATAGCTACAGTCTGCCTGAGTAGTTGTTATTCCATTTCATAGATCCAATTATGCAAATTAAAACCTACTTCAGAATTCACATATCAGAATCATCAGTCAAATCAAAGTCAATAGAAGTCAAAACCCTTATCATCTGTTTCCTATATCCTGGGTGCATAGTGGTGTACGATCATGACAGATAATTAAAAACCAAGATCTGAGAGAAATTGATAGGAAAATGTGGAAATAACAAAAAGAAAACCGAATTTGAAGACATTAGACTGTAAATGGAGGTCCAACATTACCTTTTAGCTCTGCAAATGAATGAATCTTCGGATAGGTGTTAAGAAAAGACGATGGGCGAGACTTTGCTGGCTGCGACTCTTGGTTTTGAAGAGACTTCTAAGAAAAATGAAAAAAAGTATCTTTGCTAAACCGGGAAGAAATTTATATCCTTTGCCACGCGAAAGACACAATTATTATTATTAGGGAAAACGTTAGTACCTACCATGAAATAATTTGTGTTGTATTTGTGCCTTTGTTTATCTTTCGATCCATAAAAGTCTCCCAACATCAAATAAAACATTCGAATTTAATCATAAACTTTCAAATTGAATTTTATAATATATATATATATAGGAGTGAGTTTTCTTTTCCATACCAATAATATTAATGTTAGTCTTGCACTTTTTTATTTTAAAATTCCTATGCTTTCTTTCTTTCGCTTCAGCTTTCTTGTTATTTTGCTTTTATTACTGTTTGTTGTTACTGCTTCTTTTTTCATCTTTCTTTGAGCTGAGTGTATATCGAGAACAGTCTTTAAGCTGAGTGTCTATCGGACACAGCATCTTTACCTGCTCAGGAAATATATATACTAAATAATTGAAAGGGTATAAACATACCCTTATATGACTTTCATCTATTTGCCAAATCAGACCCAACTTTTCTCGGTAAATTGTTAGTGAAATATATTTGAGACAAAAGATAATAATGGAGGCTTTTATGGACCGAAAGGAAAGCAGAGAGCAAATGTAAGACAAATGTTAGTGTATATTTGAACGTCTTTAGCTAGCTATAATGGATCCATGAAGAAGATAGAGACAATTTCTATTAATTCCAACCATGAACAATACTAAGAACAAGGAACTAAAATAAAAAGAAACAAGAATGGAGGAAGGTTCTAGAAATGCTCCAATAAGAGCTAAGACAAAATAAAGAAAAGACATAAAAATCTTCTCCACAGCTATCCCAATTTATATCCATGTAGCCTTGTCTTAGCCAGGGTCCCCAACGTCATTTAACAGGTTCTTTAGCAGATATTTGGGCCTGCTTCTCTTTTTAATGAATTCATTTTCACTATATTGGGACGCATTCATAACGTTAGCAGGCATACCTCAGTTGTAATGTGAATGATACTATGATAGATGATTGGCTCAAAGTGTTTGCTATAGTTTTCGAATGATATAAAATAGCGATATCATAGATCTGAAGTAATTTGAGCCACCTCCAGTTAACTTCAGATGGTAGCATGGTAACTCGACTCAGCATAAAATCGATGGCACCAGATCTCAAGTGCAAACACAAGGACTGCTAACTCTAGATTATGAGTTGGGTAGACATAAATACATTCATCGCTTAAAACTTATATATTTCCTTTTTTCTTAAAAAAACGTTGAACTCCTTCATATTAAGAAGAAATATGGCTAAAATTTGTTATGTTTTTTCACTACCGCTATGCTCTTCATATTCTCAATTTATTAGAGATAAGATCGCAGCAATAACTGAAATATCATCTTCTCTAGGATCCTAGATTGGTCTTTCTTATATTTTTATCGAAAACTCTAAATTTCTTCTCAAAGTTAGAAAACTTACTGGAAATATTTATAGTTAACGTTAATGGTGCAATGGAAAAATCTTATGAACAAAAAGTTTTTGTTAGTTTATGTTTACTGGTAAAACGGTACAAATGAACTTATAGTGTGGTTTATAGATAAGAGAATTGATTTGATCCAAAAACGATAAATAAATAAGAACGAAAATTAGATTAACGAATAAAATTAAAGGAGATAACAAGCCTGACTAAAGACTTAGCCTTTTCGATGAAAAGAGCAAGAATATTTCAAGTGTTTGGATTCAGTGTAACAGGAGAATAAATTATAGCTTTTGTGTGTAGAATGTTTCATGTCCTGCAACGGTTGTTAATCCTGCTATATTTATAGCTCTACTTAGGGAGACAAAATCCTAAAATCAAGCTCCTATTGAATGAGAAAAAAAACATCATCGATGAATGCATAACGGCTGGCTTTGAATGCAGATATTCTCTGTAATGGCTACTTATTAAATGTTATCCGATGCCAGCCCTTTGAATCTCTATTATCAGTTATTCCTCCTTCGAGATCCACCCGGTACCGGTTACACACTTCGCACCCGGTGCCAGTTATTTGTTGAGTCGTCTTTTGCCTATCTTCGGTTCCACGTGTCACCTTACCATTCGACAACCTGTTATCAACCAATTTCACCCCATACAGATAGTCCCCCTACTTTTCAGTGGTGCCACTCGGTGTTACCAAGAAGTAGATGAGGATTCGTTTTTTAGCGGGAAAGTTTCTAAATTGTCTCTGACACTTGAAGGGATGCACGTCTTCTCATATTTAATACCCCAAACACGTGTTGCCTTGTGATTCAGCAAATATTTTTGCTCGTTTTCGAGGTAATCATGACCATGATTTTTGCCGTCTATAACTTCTCCGCTACTCATCACTTTTACTTCCTTACTTTCATTATTTTCGCAACTCCTTCTTCTTCTTTAAATCTCCTTAGAGATTTTTTGCAACTCTCAACTCTTCAGTAAAAACCTCTTCACGGATTTCTTATCATCATATCTTCTCATACCACCATCTTTGAGAATTCTGGTTTTGTCTTTGGTGGAGGTCCAAAGAAACACAAGAACAAAGAGGTTGATGTCGAAATTGAACCTTCAACTGTAAATACCATCATACCACTCTATCTTACCACTGTATCTGATCTCCAAAAGCAAAACGCACCTACAAATTTCCAAAGTAGCAGGTTTTGGCCAGTTCGAGGTACCCCTCATCCATTCATCCTCCCAACATCCCCATTGTAAAGGAGGACTGCAACTACAATAATGTTGAAATTTTTGCCCCATATGGGGTAGAACGAGTTACATATTCGAAGGTGGTTTTCATGTATGTCTATATATACCCCTTCATTGTGGGTCCCTTCTTCTTGGGGCTAGTTAATGGACTCGATCAAATAATTTTGGAGTTTTGCCATGGTACCAAGTTTGTTTGGCACAAGTAGGCCCTTCCATATGGCGTACGGTGGCTTGTTTCCGTCAACTGTGTATCGAGACCGAGAAAACCCTAACTCTTGCACACATGATTAATCTTTACTCCCCCAAGATTTTCCGTGGGGGAGTATTAAACCTCGGCAAGCATGGCCACCACGCTCTTCTCACCAGCATAGATGATGACAATGCCTGTGGGTAAATGGAACAGTTCATTGTCGTTTCTACTAGGGACATCATCCTGGCCACAGCTCCAGGATTCCCGGAATTATGAATGTCCTTCTTAAGTTCTCGAGTGTTCGTGTTCTTAAAAAGAGAATTCCTTTCATTGTCGATTTTTTAATTTTTTCATTTCAGCTACTCACTGGGAACCACCACGGGTTTATGGTCTGGACCACTGGATCCAGAAAATTCTAGATATTACAACTCCAGAATCTCGGCAGTGAAAAGAAACGACTCCCAAATACGGGTGGAAGGGCAAAAACCACGATAAGCTTAAATTCTTCTTTCTTTCATCCTTATTCGAGCACAACAACCTTAAGAATAAATTACTAATTATATTTTTGCTTCATACAGGGCTTCCGAGGGGTTCCATGTGCTCCAACGCCGAGGTTCTTGATGACCCTATAAGTCCACATAGGTGTTACAAGATGCCCTTAATCGGAGGAGGGCTCGTGGAACTTCTTGTGCCCCCGATGAAGGTGCTTCATCCCAGAGTCCCCAGCCCAAAAATAAGAAACTGAATAGGAGACATTCCTCCTCGGTTGTGACTCAGGAAAAAAAATAATAGAAATACCAACTGAGCCGGCCATAGTGGTCCTTGACAATGAAGAGGAAGCCAGTGATGAAGTTGCTTCCCTTCAAATAAGAAAAAGATCTTCAGCAGCTCAACCGGATGCTCAGTTGGCAGAGCTCCAAAACCCACCAGCGGAAGAAGTTCAGGCGCTCTTGGGGGAAATGGACTTGGTTGAGAATGCCAACTCTCGCTTTCGAACCCCGGTTACCGTCTCCGGTCAGAGGAGCTTGGCCCCTGACCTACTTCTACCATCAACTCTAAGCAAGCAACAATTACCACTCCTTATACTATAGTTTCTTCTTCTCCATCTACACCAACAACTTCATACCCACCTGTCACACCTCTTTGTTCCGCCCTCGCGAGGGGACAAGGGAGTTTTTTCCAATTAAAGGACAATCGAAACGGGATTTGTTTATTTATTTCAGAGTCGCCACTTGGGAGATTTAGGGTGTCCCGAGTCACCAATTTTAATCCCAAATCAAGGAAAAGAATGACTCCATATTACAGTCTGCGTACCAGAAATCCGGATAAGGAATTCTGTTAACCCGGGAGAAGGTGTTAGGCATTCCCGAGTTTCGTGGTTCTAGCGCGGTCGCTCAACTATCATATTTGGCTTGATTATCTGATTTAATACATGTTGAACCTATGTGCGAAATTTAACTTTTAACCGCTTTTATCATTTACTGTTATTTTTATCAAGAATTGCAACGTTGTGAAAATGTATCTCGAACCGCGTTACAATCAATGTACTCGTGGTCGTCGACACACTTTGACTCCGTTGAGATTTGGATTTGGGTCACATCAATGTGCACCCGAGTTTAAGNTTAATATATACATTTAGAGGGCCCCGCAGCTTGTGTATTTTTTGTTTGTCGGGGCTCATCTCATCTTTATTTTTTAAAGGATATCCTATAGTGGCTACGTTTCTTGTTACGTTTGTCTCTACTAATGAAAGCAAAAATGATCCTACTTAGTTACATGGTTGCAGGTTATTTATAGCGGGGTTCCGAATGCTTTCGCAAAATCCGAAGCCCGACCGCGTACATGGGCAGCCGTCTGGATACTATGGGCCCAAACCCAACCCACACAGTATTGGCTGGACCTGGGCCACTGCTTTTCCGATGAAGGCCTGTTTAGTTCGTTCGATTTGGGCTTGATATTCATAAGGTTGAAATGTAGACTTGTGTTATTTGTTCCAAAAGGTATGGTTTGCCAGTTATAACGAGGCAGCTTATCAAAGGAAATGAGATTAACTAACAATGGATAGTTTCATACTTAACATGCATTAAAGGATATGCNCGGATATGCTAATCACAAACATATCTAAAGTCTAAGGTATAGCCTATCTACACTGTCAATCCTTTTATCTACCAGCCT